AAAATTGTTTCAAACTGACTGTAATTTGTTTGTATGAAGGGTTCTACAATTTAAAAACAGAGACACTGAATATACTTTTGTTACTTATGAAAAATCAATAAAAACATATTTTTAAAAAATATAAATTCAGTAAATAAAGTACAATTGAAGTTTAACAATCAATAAGCAGAACTTAGCTAAGAAAATTGAGAACAGAACAATTTATGTTTTAATGGGCAACATGATTGCTTTAATTCTGTCTGCACTTCTAGATGATATCATAAAAGAAAACAAGACTTGAAGATAAGTTGCTTTAGAAGCGCATGACTTACGAATTGTAAGGATAAGTTAGGAACAATTAAGCCAAAACCTATGTGATTAATATTTTCTATTAATATTAACCAGGTAATTAATATTTTGCAGCAAAAAAAAGTTGAAAAAGAAATTGCAAACTTGCAACAATTACTTAATCATTTGTGAACCTTTAATATGATGTCCAACTAATTAATGGTTAAAACTCGACTCCTTTTATCGTCTCATCCCTCAAGTCAGAGTTAAAGCTATTGTGCTAAAAATTAGAAATTGCTTAGAAATTAGAAATGCTTAATATTGAATTCTTTTGCTTTTGGTCAGTTTACTTGTCTTATCCTTACACCAGCTTAACTTTGCATCTCCCTCTTTATTTTGGCCATTGAATGATGATTTTGTTGATGCATTACAAATTTCAGTTATTATGGGGAATAGTAATCAGAGCAACAGATGGGCATCAAGAAAGATACACAACAATAATAATTTACTCTTTGTATTTCAGTATTTCATTCTGATATGCTCCATCCTTGATTGAGGACCTGCTGTTGCTAGGCAACTCATAAGAAATGGTCCCTTGTTTAGATTGCTTTGGTTCCAAACAAAACAAGGCAAAGCATTGAAAGGGAAACAGAGGCACAACATCTGGATTAGGAATAACAGCCAGGACTCTTAGGCCTAGGACAATGTTCTCCAATGTTGCATCTCAAATGAAAACTGCCTACCATCTAACATCTTCAAGATACTGAATCATGCTAATGTTAGAATGGTGTGCCTATGCATCCATGATTGGTGGTTTCAAGTATATGCACCTAAAAAGAGAGGAAAGATTAATTTCCCCCACTTGTATACTGCCTAAAAGGGTCAGTTCAAGGTGGTACATAATTTCATAGACATATGCATTAAAACAATACAATCATAATACACTAAGTGAAGTGCTAACAAATCATATCAAAAAATGCATGGTGTGGTTTGCATGGTGTGGAGTACTGTAAATTACAAGGTATTTCCAAAAGGTTTGTTTCTGGCAGCGCAGTGAGCTGGTTTGTACAACACACTAGGACATGTCCTTTTAGGGGGTGAAACTTAATTTTTGCTAATTTATTCAGTGAGGGGTCTTAAAAATATGTTTGTGGGTGTGAGGAATTCAAATCTGCCATTTTTGTGATTAGACAAAATTTAGCTTGGTAAGTGTATGTTTGATGAAGAAGCACACAAACTGCTTTTGGAAAGCCAAAGAATTTCAATTTTGCCTTCTGAAAATGTCAGGTAATTGGTCCATATCGCATATAAATTATAAAGGGTTTAAACAATAATTCACCTGAACTGAGTAATCTTAGGGTAAGCTCTCAATTTGTCTTCATTTTCCCCTCTATATTTTGATGGAAGTTGGCTAACCAAACGTTTCTACAAAATATTACATGGTTTCAAGGGATTGGTATGCAATGGAGCACACATCCATTTGGCCCTGATCCTACAGGATGACTGCACACAGAATCCATTCTCCCTTTTTCAATCTCTTGGGGAATTATAAACATCTGAGGGATGTAGGATTCATTCTGATCATAGTCATTTCCTAACAGCAGGAAAAGCGGGTGGGGAGTTGTTAAAATTAAAGGTTTGAGTCATAAGAATATTGTAAAGTAAGCAAAAATTGCAATGCTCTGAAATCATGGTGGCTGCAGTTTGTTGGTTTATTCCTCCTGTGCCAGCGGTCATCTTCTGTTTTTGGTTTTAAGACTATATTTTTCTGGATGATTAGTCTGTGACTTTTTGTATTCTTGCAAGTTACTGCAGCAACTTATCTTGCATGCAGGGACACGTGTGTGTGTGTGTGTGTGTGTGTGTGTGTACTTACCAGATTGCTCTAATTGATTAATTAAGTGATGACGGCTACATCACACATATACTTACAGCTATGGTGTCCTTTTGCAAGAATCCTTCTTTGTAGCAAGCCCACAATTTGTGATATCTTACCTATTTGATTTCTTGCCAAATTCCAGCCTGAGCTTTCTACTGATACCCCTTATTAAACCTAAGAAATCTTCATGGCATCTCCAAATTTTACATTGCAGTTGTCCAGCAAAGCAGCGCGAATTGAAAACATACATGCGCAAGAGGAAAGTGTTTATAACAATGCATATATTGGTGAAAATAACTTATACAAATTCATTATATGGGGGGGAGATTGCTTTGCAAAATGTGAACATTGAGCAAAAGTGCATACAAAAATGTATACACAAATAGAAATTCGCGCTACAATGATGATGAAGTTTCATGGGAACTTTATAAAAAAAATGGAAATACAGAGACGCCGAGAAACCAAAATGGATACATTTGCCCAACTCTACTTGTAATAGGGTGTAATAATATCAAAATAAGAATCCATGAAAATCTCTCTCTCTCTCTCTCTCTCTCTCTCTCTCTCACACACACACACACACACACACACACACAACCACTACCATCACCAGCAGTCCTTTGTCCACTGGCTGCTGGATGAAGCCAGGCTGGCTTTCTCCTTGCCACCATCTATATAACTGGTTGGCAGGAGACTGTCATTCCATATGAGACTGAGACTCCAAAACCACAATTCTAGTAAATGAGTGTTGCCAGTGGAGTTTTACTCCCTGTCTCTCACACCTACTCCTTTAACTGTAGGTATTTATATTAAGATCATGGTTATTCTGAAGCGTATTCCAGCTCCACATATGTTCCTATTCAATACTGCATGAATACCAGGAAATCTCGGTTATGCAATCATAGGTCTCCAACAGAAGATTAGCAGATGTAGGAAGAAAGAAGAGAGTTTCTGCTTCTTGAAATAGAGGTGGAATTTGACCATATGCTTTCAGTCACAAGGAAAACAAATACTGTGTGCTGAAATGAATTTCTTGCCAGGAGCAACATATTGGAATGTGTCTGGCTCCTTTTGCCAAAGGAAGTCATCTGATTCAGAAACTGTGGCTTCAGATTTGGGTATAACATATGTTCCATGTGCGATAGCGCTATTTCCTAGTGAGAAAATAGCAGCAGCCTTTTCCATTGGTGTGGGTGCCTTTGAGATATTTCCTGAAGGTAATATGTAGATTTGTCAATTTGTTTGTGTAGTGCCACTTACTACACATTATTTTATTTTAATTGTATTCTATTCTAAGCCCAATATAATGTGCTGCTTCCCCCCCCCCCTATACATTACTGAAATTGCAAGATACTCACTACCCTGGGCATATTGTTCAGCAACCAACTGGTGTTTTGACACCATGGATATATGTAGATGATAGTAGCTGTGTGATTGGCACCGAATAACAAAGGGGGTTCATGCATCTTCCCTAAGGATTTTCTGTATTTTCTTTACTGAGTTAAATCACAGGCAGAGCAGGAGTGCCATGTCTTCATAGTATTAAGCTGCCTTGTACTGACCAGGTGGAATAAACATGTCTCTCCTACATCGGTCTCTACAGCCACAGCAGGCACTGCTACCTTCCAACAGCTTGACCTCACCCCCAAAGGCATACTCCTTCATTGTCTCCCGAGGCAGATGGATGCCAGAGATACTGACCACGGCCTTAGACTGGTGCCACATCTAACCTGGCATTGTCTACTCAACTGGCACCAGCTCTCCAGGGTCTAGGGCAGAATCTTTGCCATTACCTGCTACCTGATCCTACCTGTGGTTGCCAGGGATTAAGCCTGTGTGCAATGCATGTTCTGTACCACTGAGCTACAGTTCCTTGGTAAAGCTCTCTAGAGCAGGCATCCCCAAACTCGGCCCTCCAGCTGTTTTGGGACTACAACTTCCATCATCCCTAGCTAACAGGACCAGTGGTCAGGGATGGTGGGAATTGTAGTCCCAAAACATCTGGAGGGCTGAGTTTGGGGATGCCTGCTTTAGAGTCAACGGTAGGGGTCTTTCCCCTTCTCTCCCACTGAGCCATGGTCCCTTCTTGCTCTTTAAAGTGAACTGAACCTGTACCCTGAGATCATCATCTGAGGCTGTTCTTCGTGCACCCCCTTCACAAGAAGTCCAGAGGGTGGCAACACAAGAATTGGCCTTTTCTGCAGTGGCTCCCTCTCTGTGGAATGGTCTCCCCAGAGATGTTCGTCTGGCACCTTCATTATACACCTTTAGGTCCCTGGCAAAAACGTTCCCCTTCAACCAGGCCTTGGGCTGATTAACATATGATACCTTTTAATTGTGTTGTGGGGTGGGGATTATTGGTTTGTTTTTATTATGTGTTTTGTGGGTTTTTTCTTTTGTTTTTATGTTGTGAACTGCCCTGAGATTTATGGATGAAGAGCATTATACAATGTATAATGTATTGTTTTGCCTTAGGAGTGTGCTAGCAGGCCTGGTGTTAGGGGTCAGCATGGTTGGGCGCCTGCCCGTGGTCTAAGGTTGATCCTGCTAAGCCTGTAGCATACAACACAGGGGCTGCGATGGTGGCAGGATGGCAGAGGCAGCACCACCAAGCAGGTGGTGTTGGGCAGGGGCTCAGTGGTAGAACCATGCAGAGGATCTGCTAAAGCCCGGTGCCAACGGCACATCAGTAATGTTTGCTCTTCTGAATAAATCTTACAACCTAAGATGAATTGCCACTCTTTATGCAACCACAGCCTCTATATTTCAGAATGGTGCTTAGACAAAAGAAGGCCTGAGGCTGAGATATAATTACACCCAGCCATAGCAATGATCCTGACTTCTCCCTTTCCAGGCGACCTGGTGTCTCGAGCAATGCATCACCTGCAGCCGCTCAGTGCGAAGCAACATAGCAACAGCACCCCCATGCACCATAAGCAGGGGTCGCTCTACTGGGAACCGGAGGCCTTGTACACGCTCTGTTATTTTATGCACTGCCCACAGATGGAATGGGAGAACCCGAACGTGGAACCCTCCAAAGTAACGCTACAGACGGAAAGGTAATGATCTCCTTTACCAACAGATCCACAGTTTTCTTATTAGTTACCGAACGCGGGCTAGGCACTGTCGATTTCTCCATTCAGTCTCTTTTGGTTATGATTGCTTTTTCTTCCTGGAATAAATTTCGCCTGCCATTAAGTGCTCTGTGGCTGTGACCCAGAATATATCAAAAATGACACCCAGTGGCTACATACTGCAGATTGGTTCCAGATGTCTATTTTGGAGAGATCTCTTTCACCCCCCACCCCCCAAACTTTGTTCTCTTTTTGTCTCTTGGCTGGGCTTGTGATTTTGGAAAGGAAAATTAGAGGTTCTGTTTGTAGCTTAACAGGTTTGGTTTTAAATGTGTTTTTTTTACAAATTTAATGGGCTTCAGCAACTGTAATTTGGGACTCAGGGACTGAGCAGAATATACGCAGTATGTGAAGAACAAGTTGTGGAGTCTATTACATTGCTAGTAATGCCTGTTGACATTCAGAGGTGACTTTGAAACATGTTCATCATTTAAGCCCTAGTTTTCTGGTTTTAGCCAGACTTAGAAGGCCAAAGAAGGGCCAGGATAAGAGTTGCATGCATACAATGTGTGTATGTGTGAAATAAAATGTCCTAACTTGAGAAATTTGTTTGAAATAAGGGGAAATCTTTTGGGAGATGTTAAAGATCCGCATGCCAGAGGATTCTGGTATAACCTGGGTTGACCAAAAGTCAATAATGCTTCTGTTGCCTTCCAGTAGTCCATGAATAGATTTTGGATCTACAACAGCTGTTTGCAGTAAAGCATCTTGTGGGATCTGTGGCTGAGTGTATCTCAAGAAGTCAGTATATTTTGTTATGGGAGAGCTGCATAACCTGTCACCCATGAAGCCAAACTGAGTCCACCAACAAGGCTGGCTCCATATATGAGGGGCCTCTCAGCTACATGTCATCTAGAGGGCGGCACTAGTCCAGTTCAGCTCCCCCACTTCTTTGCAGACTCGCCCTAGAATGGGCTTGCTTTTAGTACGGTGGGTGACAGCAGCAGAAATCTGCAGCAGCAACCTGCCATCTTGATTTTTCCCCACAATACCTCTACATCACAGATGTTGCTGAACTACAGTTCCCATAATTCCCACTTGTTGGCCATGGTTGGTGTTCATGTGAGTCCAATAACACCTGAAGGTCCACAGATTCATCATCCCTGCCCTACATAGCATAACTTTGGGGCATTGTAGGAATGTCAGAATGCTTCCCACTTCCTTGCTGCTCTCACACAGTAAATTTGAGGCAAGCAACACAGTTAAGCAGGAGGGACCACCTGAAAAACTACTGGGCTTCAGTAGCTGCTCAACTCTGCTGGGTACTGCTTTGGGAGAAGGGTTATAGTTCTATGGTAAAGCATCTGCTTTGCTTGCAAAAGGGCCCAGTTTCAGTCCCAGGTAAGCTGAGGGAAACCCCTGCCCGAAACCCTGGAGAGCCACTGCCAGTCATTGTTGAATATACTGAACTAGATGGGCCAATGATCTGACAGGCAGCTTCCTGTTCTACTTCCTAGCGATTCAGTTAAGCTTCTGTTTTTGCTGCAGGCTGTCATACATGGCTGAAGGGCTGCATTTGGTTTGGTGAGTCACAATTGTGCAATCCTGGGTTATGGGTTAGGTCAGTTTGACATGTTTCACCTGAGTTCTCTGTTCAAGTGCTCTCAAATTGATAAAAGAAGAAAAGAAGAAAAGAAAGGACTTTTGATATATTTAAGTATACTGCTCATATGATCTACTGTTTATTCAGTAGTTATTAATTTATATGCTGTACAATAATAGGGATGGGCAGGCATCAAGCTTGAGGGATCTATTTTGTTTTTCTTAGGACCCCCAAAGTCCACCAGTTGCAGCCAAGTGCAAAACGGTGGCTTAGAAAGGGAAGGCAGATTTAGAAAGGGTGCCTCTGAGTATATATTAGGACAGGAATTACCGATAGTTTTCAGTACCAAAACTGAGCTCACTGTTTTTTTGTACATTCTTTCCTTGTGTCCCCACCCTCCCACCAAGTTTCTATTTCAACAGCCTAATCTGGGTGGAGTGGGGTGGTAGTGGAAGTTGTTGATAATACTAAACAATTGGGAGTTAAGAAATCCTTGGGGATCTCCTGAAAATCACCTAGAGATCCCAAGCTACGTTTTGCCTGCCTCTGCCATACAGAATGTAGAAGTGGCACAGCCACTGCTAGAAGGACTTAAAATCTACATTGGGCAAACAAAATTAGATGAAAGAAATAGAGTTGCCTGGTTGCCGCCCGAAGCTGCTCTCCTTCACATTTCATCCTTTGTTTGGTTCCTTCACAGGCCTTCCTCATCTGTAGTAGCAAGCAGAAAAAAATACAGCTTTTTATCATGGCAGATGGGGCAGGAGTGGGGCAGACGATGCCCCAGCTGGATTCCCCCCCCCCACCTCCTTGCCCTCTTCAAGATTTATGAAGCATTTCTTGGTTGCAAACTGGCACCTTTACAAAGAATGGAACAGAACTTAGGGTATATATAGCCAGGTGCATAGAACAATGTGACAAGCAGGCAAGGAGAATTAATGGTGATTCACACAAGGTCATGTTTAGTTGTATATATTATATTTTCCCATCCCTGCTTTCAATAATGAATCTTAGTTTGTCTATTCTCATTCCTTTACACTTATGCACATTTCAAATAGCATGAAAATAATAATAAGGAATAAAAATAATAAAAGGTAATAAAATGCAGGCTAGTTTTGACATTTGTCAACAACTGCCCCATCCCCTAATTTAGTTACGCTGCTGCACTTATTAAATTGTTAGTATTCTTGAGGCAGTTGGACTGTATTGAAATCAGACAAAGGTCTGTTCCTTTTTAAGCCCTGTTTGACAAATTCTCTTTCCCTGGAAAACCACTTTAGGAACTGTGGTAATGTGGTAAAGGCCAGAGTAAGCTTTCTGTATTGTTGCCAGGACCTTGTGGTTGGCTTTGGAAGGAACAAAGATACCTTCTGCTGCCTAATCAGATGTGCTGTGGTGTTTAGCAACAGAAATCTCAAGCGCAAAGGATATTGTAGAGGCCCAGATCTTTCCACGGACTGAGTTATGTAATCTGCTTTTTCTGTTCCAGTTTTCATGCTGCCTCACAAAAGCAATTGGTTAATGTGGCTTTCAAAAGTTTTCTTTTGTATTTTAATTTCCACCAAAGGGATACTGGTGGTATTCCCTCTTGTAAGTCATCCTTTTTAGTGTGCGATTTATTGGAAGCATTTCCCCTTGTGAATCTCCCTCTCCCTCTCTCTGATGCTTGAAAGAAAAATGAAATTATTCTTAGTCACATTTTTTTCTAAGCATTTTGCTTTATCTTATCTGACTTCCAGGTGTTTTTCTCTATTCTTGTTAACTCTCATATTTGCATTTTGTTTTGTTTATAATGGAAAGAGTTAGATTGTTTCTCATTCCCTGGCTGTTTTATCCTGGCTTTCTAAATTTGACCCTCTGTAATTCAAAGTGAGATGTCCTTGGATGTTGTCACTGTAAGTGGCTTCCCTGCTTTATAAACACTGCTTTATAAACAGGCACACTTCTTCCCAGGGCCGGCCCACCCATGAGGCAAAGTGAGATGACAGCCTCAGCCGTCAGAATCGACAGGAACAACAGACCTCGATGTACAATAGATCTTTATTCCCTGCTTGTTCCTGATATAGATCTTCATTCCCTGACACGGAGGGGGCGCCATTTTGTGGTTCACCTTAGGTACCAAAATGTCTTGTGCCAACCCTCCACCCTCAGACAGAATCTTAAAAATAAGAGCACAGTTGTGCAGATTATTTAAATGGTGGAGCATGAATAGCAAAAATCTATTGCAGGGACGGCTAATCCTTCTGTCACATGCACCCCTCATATTGTTTGTGCTCCCCAAGTTCTCCTTCCAAATTTGTCATAAAAAAAAAGTTTTGACAGGGCCTCTGCTGTGATGTCAACAATTTATCCCCCCAATTTTATCCATTTAAAACAAAAAAATAAACAAACATATTTCCCCCTGACTTTTGTGCCCCCTCAATGCCCTCCAAGATGTGTCAGCCTTAGGAGGAAGGAGAGGAAGAATAACTATTTTGCTGAGCACTTCAACAGGTTCCCTCCTTTAAGTAATGCAAAAAGGTTTTGTGGCTTCCCAAATGTGTCCTTAAAAATAAAGCCACACCCGTTTTTACGCTTTGGCCATACCAGAGAGAATATCACTGCTGAGGTGCTGTAGCATTGTATTTTTCAATATCCATACAAGTTGATAAGGATCTGGGAGTGTTTACCTCCAAATAATCTACACCCTCTCAGCCTTTCAAGTCTGCTATTGGTTTTGTTTCTCTCCATTCTGTGTGTGCTTGTAAATTTGATATACCCCCCCCCAAAAAAAATAACAGTCACATTTCAGAAGGTGAGGGTAGTGTCTTCTCAGTCTTGCTGCTCCGCCCTTTTGAGCAAATGGTATCACTGCTGGGGTGAGGAAAGTGAGTATGGCAGCACTCCTGTTCTCTACTGCTCCCACATTGTGGTGTTCCCTACTGACATAGTTTATTTCTGAGCATTATGTCCTATGGGTTTTCTGGATATTAAACAAGATGTATAAGTCAGCCCTCCTTTTCTGGGCCTACCTACACTTATCTTTAAATGCCTACTGTTGTTTTACACCTGAAGCCACTTTTTATAGTCCCAACAGGATCAGCAGGACTAAATCAAATTCAGTGGCATGCTTCCTCCTTCTTCAGTGTGCTAACTCAGTAGAGGTGCTACATTGATTGTTGGGGGTTCCTTGCAAGAGCTGGTTGGCGCATTGTCTTTGCTTGCTAATTTGTGTGGGGTTCCTTTCCTTGGTAGCACCTTGCCTGCCAACTATATTGGCACGACCCTTATCATTGCCCCCAAACTTGCTGTACAGCAACTTTCTTTTCCTATTATTCTGACTGGAAGTGTAGTTTTAACTGTCTTGGAATCCACATTAATTTTATTTGGCAGCATACTGGAA